ATGGCACCTCTGCTCTTCATTGGTTCTATTCTACATTTTCTTCCATGTCGTTCACTCCAGTACGTTGTTATTTTACTGTGTAGATTTGGTACTTGGCCCTCCAGTATCTTCCAGGTGTATATTATTTGATATCTCTCTCGTCTTCTTTCTAGTGAGTACATTTGGAGGGCTTTGAGACGATCCCAATAATTTAGGTGCTTTATTGCGTCTATGCGTGCCGTATATGTTCTCTGTATTCCCTCTATTTCAGCAATCTCTCCTGCTTTGAAGGGGGAAGTGAGTACTGAGCAGTACTCAAGACGGGACAACACAAGTGCCTTGAAGAGTACAACCATTGTGATGGTTGTATATGTGTATATGAGCATATGTGTATATGTATATGTGTATATGTGGTTGTATGTGTGTATATGAGCTGAAGAGGGAAGGAAGGTTGTGTCATCTAACAACAACAACATTGTATGGAGGTCCAGTCGCGGCAGACGGCTGCGCGCTTCATAAAAGAGAGGAATCACGCTCAAGTGTCTCCCAAAGAACGTTGGCAATCCCAGAGCAACGTCGAGCGATACCTGCCCCTCAAGGCCCCACTTCGTACTGGTTTCTCAGTCATAATTTCACTGTTCACCATTGCTCAAGCGAGCGCTGGTCAAGGAGGGTTACGTCACCCTGTGGACATCACACCTCCTTGCCCTGCGAGTCTTACCTGGTGACCCTTTGGCCTACAGTACCTGGTAACTCGTGGAAATGTTTCCAGGATAATTACTGGTGAACATGAGACGTTAGGTACCAGTAATACAGGAAATCTTTCAGGGAGAAAAAAAAGGCCTGAGAGAAGATAAGGCTGACCTTCAAGCACCTAGCTAAGGAGCACCACCTGCACTCCAGGACGTTGTGCTGCCCATGTTAGACCAGTACTAGAATATGTAGTCTCAGTTTGGACTTAGAACCTAAAAAACGCAGAACCAAATAAGATAAAGCCCAGAGGTTTTCTACAAGACTGGTTCCTAAACTAAGAGGATTGAGATATGAGGAAAGATTAATGGAACTAGACGTAGACAGAATGAAAAAGAGAAGCGCGAGAGACGTGTCTACATCACGTAATATTAGCAGAAGCATTGTCAAAGGGACTAGAAAGTCAGTTCAGCATGAAGAGTTGTGCGACGGGAGAACATGGCTGGAAATTAAACTCAGATCAGCCATCTGAGGAAAGATGTAAGGAAACACCTCACTGTAAGAGTGAGTGAGGAAGTTAATGAATAAGAAGAGGAGGTAGTTGAGGTTAATTCCATAATTAGTTAGAAAGATAGGTATGATAAGCATCATAAAAACTATGAACCATTGCAATATGTGAGCGTCAATTGAAAGACGGGGCCCAAGAGCTGATGCTCGCCTACCAAGTATATAAAGAGGTCTACAAACACATACTTTAGGGGCAGTACGAATTGCCCCTAAGGCAGTTCGTTGTTGCCTTCAACCTCGTTCTGACAGTTCTTGCGACGGCGCTGGAACCAATCGTATTGGAGTTTGCCGCAGAGATGTGGTGGAGGCAGACTCCATAAACAGTTTCAATTGTAGATATGATAGAGCTCAGTAGGCTCAGGAATCTGTACACCAGTTGATTGACAGTTGAGAGGCGGGACCAAAGAGCCATAGCTCAACTCCGGCAAGCACAACTAGGTGAGTACACAGTCACACGAGAAAAACGTCTATAAAGGACCAAGCACAGAACTTCAAAGTCAACAAAGCACTGCATACAGACAGTGACAGTGATGAGCTCAGACAAAAGCTGAGAGGTATGAATGTTGAGAAGTGAGCAAGACCCGCTGCCAGAACTACAAGGATCGCCTCACCAAAGTGTACTGGAACAAATCGTGGCTACAGATGAGGTAAAGAACAACCTGAACAAACTGGATACAAGAAGGCATCGAGGTCTGATATGATCTTACCGGAGATACTACAGACACGAGTGAAGCCTCGACACAGCCTCTTCCATCTTATACAAGACAGAGTGAAGCCTCGACACAGCCTCTTCTATCTTATACAAGACAGAGTGAAGCCTCGACACAGCCTCTTCCATCTTATACAAGACAGAGTGAAGCCTCGACACAGCCTCTTCCATCTTATACAAGACAGAGTGAAGCCTCGACACAGCCTCTTCCATCTTATACAAGACAGAGTGAAGCCTCGACACAGCCTCTTCCATCTTATACAAGACAGAGTGAAGCCTCGACACAGCCTCTTCTATCTTATACAAGACAGAGTGAAGCCTCGAGACAACGCCTTAGAACATATATAAGACAGAGTGATTGGTCCCAGACCAAGAAAAGGTGCCGCGTGATATGTCTGAAACCAAAATGAAGGGTCACGTGATTGTTTTCAGGCCAAGATGACGGGTCTAAGTCAACAAACCAGAAAAAATGAAAGACGAAATTTCTTTGGTCTGAGGAAAGTTCTCAAAATAATCATTTCAATATTTGTTATTAACTTAGAAATCATAAAGCTCATAGAGACGAGGAGTCACAATAACGTGGCTGAAATATGTTGACCAACCCACACACTAGACAGTGAAAGGTTTGGTCAACATAAAGGTTATACTCTGTTATACTCTGTTATACTCTGGTGCTCCAGCAGACACCTGGATGGTGTTACTAAAACTGGAATGCACTAGTGGTCTACATATGCAGCCCATCATCCTGTTTTGGTAGTACTTATAGTAACGATGAGGACCATAGTATATATACCCACCTACCGTGAGGGTTACCTTGAGGTGGTTTCGGGGCTTAGCGTCCCCCCGGCCCGGTCGTCGCCCAGGCCTCCTGGTTGCTGGACTGATCAACTAGGCTGTTGGACGTGGGTGCTTGCAGCTTGACGTATGACTCACATCCTGGTTGATCAGGTACCTACAACGAAATTAGAACGTAGAAATCTGAACTATTGAGTTGGACAAACCGGAAAACTATTTATTACTTGTGTTGCTTTGACAAACTAAACTACCCTCACCTAACCTTCCTAGGCCTAATACACGATATCTGAGGCCTAATATAGTACATATGTGTGCTATACTAGGCCTAGGAATATTCAAGTTAGTTTTTTAGCTTTAGTTATTTTAAAAGAATTCCTTACTAGTAAGTATAATAGCTAAGTACGTACGAATTCGTGACTATTGACGATTATCACAATAGTTACCGTCTAAACAGGGGAATAGGTTAACATATGGCTATTACGAAAAGTTAGGACAATGTATATGTCCCACAACCCATGGTGTTGGGGGAATGCTCGAGCAGCCCAGGCCTGGAGCTAGAGCTCAATATCCCCCCCCCACACACACTGTTAGGTGAGTGCATATGTATATATATATACCTACTGATAACATCACTGTTGTTTAGTCTGACAATGACCCACTAAGCTTCAACCGGACACATGGGATGATAACTGGGTCCCCTTCTCCCCCTACACCCCCCCCCTGTGTCTCCATACACCCCCCTATGTCTCCATACATCCCCTGTCATTGAGACCAAGGCCTTGACAACTGTCTGAAGACCTGCCGGGCACAGTATTGCTCACACCCAGTATGCTGTCACACTCAGTATACTGTCACACCCAGTATGCTGTCACACTCAGTATACTGTCACAATGTCGTCGTCAGTGTTAAAGCATACACACCACCAGACTGGACCTGAGGCCTTACAAAGGAAGGTTAGTTTACCAACATCATATAATCATAAAATATATAAAGAACAGCTTTCTCCAATCATGGCGGCGTTCTTTACATGTATTGAACAGTTTATGAGCTGGGGAGCATTGTGAGGTTGTTTACAACACTAATAACCTCGGGTTATAAAGTTTGGCAGCCCGTAAAGTGTTTAATGCAGACACAGCCACCATGGTTGAGGAAAGATGAACAGGTTTCGTAACTGGACGCGGAAATGCTTGATGAATCCTGGCTCTGGACTGGTGTCATATTTCCTCCGTGGGATAGACCTTTCCTGGAAGTGGTGGTTCAAGCGGGCTACACTTCTCATAGCTTTCCCATCCATTCCTTACCCCTCTTCCAGACGCGTACTTTCCCTTTCTGCCTATTTTACACCTCGAGGCCGGCACCTTCCTCTTCTGCCTATTACACAATATTAGGCCAGAATCTCCCATTTTTACCTATTCATCACACTTTGCTAGACAATTCAGCCTCACTATAAAGGACTTGAGAAGGAGCAGAGAAGAACGTGGTCAAGTCCTCTATACAGTTTAGTGGCTGATAAAGTACGGGCTCCAAGCTGGCGCTGCCTACTGTAAAATTGGTGTTACGTACATGATAATCAGTATCCTTTATAAATTATCAACGAGATTCTAAAAGACTCTCCTTACATTTGTTAGCATTCTATTTGGCGTTGAACTACCGCGTTAGCGTGAACCTCAGGCAGCGAAACCTGTTCATCTTTAATCACTCTTGGAGGCTTCGTTTACATTTATTAAGAAGTTTAAGAGCGTCGAAACGATACAACAAGATATTTGTTGTTATAAAAACCTCGTAACAACAAGCTACGCTCCTTCCTTATACCTGTTTGTTAACACTTAAGCTCTAGTAGTAACCTGTGTGTGTGTGTGTGTGTGTGTGTGTGTGTGTGTGTGTGTGTGTGTGTGTGTGTGTGTGTGTGTGTGTGTACTCACCTAGTTGTGCTTGCGGGGGTTGAGCTCTGGCTCTTTGGTCCCGCCTCTCAACTGTCAATCAACAGGTGTACAGGTTCCTGAAAAGAACCTGTACACCTTGCACCGGAACTCGTGCAAGGTGTATGTGTGTGTGTGTGTGTGTGTGTGTGTGTGTGTGTGTGTGTGTGTGTGTGTGTGTGTGTGTGTGTGTGTGTGTGTGTGTGAAATATCTGACATAGATATGATTGCCAAAATAGGTCGGTAGTCAGCACATTACACAACGGACAGTCAGAAAGGCGGGGCCCAAGAACTAGCAGCTCTATCCTGCAGGCACAAACAGTAAATACACACACACACACCTTGCACGAGTTCCGGTTCACTCAGCGATGCATTTGGCTCACATGAAACAAAACGGAGCCACTAGGGTGACTGAGGCAGGGAAGCTCTGGTGGCCTCAGTGGAGAAAGCACACAAGTGCAGCGGGGACCCAGCTCGCCCACTGGGAGAAAGTCCACTGGAAAATATTTCAATCTGTGCGGGATGCAGACAAGTTTAATTATAGGTAATTACATGATTGACGATAAGTCAAAGATAAATTGTGATTCTACACACACACACACACACACACACACACACACACACACACACACACACACACACACACACAGATTGTTACTGCTACTTGTATTGATACGAGCTGATAACATTACACTTTTGAAGCTTGGCAGTTTTCCCAGATATTAAGACTACCATATAGGCTATTCTCCCCCCCCCCCCCATCTTGCTGTTTGTCAGACTGTTGTGGTTTTATACAAGCCGCCAGGCACGGGGGTTTTCCGTCTCTTCCAGGGCGTACCACACATCATAGGCACTGAACTGTTAGTGGTGTTTTGAACCCGGAGCTTGAGACGTGTGAGGTCATCGTTGAGACCACTCAGCTATCGTTAACATGTTGCTCTGGTGTAGGTAATAACATTGAGGCTCGTCATTTTGACGTAAGAGAAGAAATGAGGCGCTAAGAATCTTCGTGCACTGTGAATACGTCCCTACTACCCTGAGGTGAGGCCGGCAGCTCCTCGTGTGTCACTTGTCACTTACACGGAAATATTCCCACTTGACATTGCTTGTTTTAGAGGTAACTTGAAGGGGGAGAACAAGTGTGCAAAGAGATATTTAATTTTCCCCTTTAATTTGTTATTTATTATTATATATTGGGAAAGAGGGTTATAGATTATGGAATAGACTATCGGGTAACATAATAGACGTGGGATCGATGGATTGTTTCAAGCGTAGTTTAGACATATATGAACAAAAAAGAGTTTCGTTGGATACAATTAAGAGCTGCCTTGTATAAGTCAATGGGCCTATTTTAACATAGCAGAGAACAAGACTATACGACCTCTGTCTCCTGTTAACAGACTAAAAGCTTTACCTTCTCCCTAGCTCACGGTAAGCCTTCCTCGCGGGTTCCCTGGAACACGTCCCGCCAACCGGTTACCAACCAGGCACCCAGTGAAAAAATGTGTATTTTTCAAGGAAATCAATAAATTCTCAACGAAAAGGTAAGAACTATATAGCCCCTATTATGCATCTTCCTTGCGTGGTGGCATCATTGTTCTGACAAGACTACCACCACCAGGAAGCATTATAATTCTGGGAGTCCCACGGCGTCATACACGTGGTCAAAGATGTTGTTGTTGTTGTTATAGATTCAGCTACTCGGAACAAGTTCCAAGTAGCACGGGCTATGGTGAGCCCGTAACTTACCTGGCACAGGAGCGGGGCGAGTAGCACGGGCTATGGTGAGCCCGTAGTGGACTTACCTGGCACAGGAGCGGTGCAAGTAGCACGGGCTATGATGAGCCCGTAACTTACCTGGCACAGGAGCGGTGCAAGTAGCACGGGCTATAATGAGCCCGTAACTTACCTGGCACAGGAGCGGGGCGAGTAGCACGGGCTATGGTGAGCCCGTAATGGACTTACCTGACACAGGAGCGGTGCTATAAAGTGGTCAAAGAAGTTGTAAACAAATATATAGACATGGTGGCTGCAGGGAGGTGCTCTCCAGGTCAAGTGTACGGCGCCACCTGACTACTTTCTCTTATGTAGGATCATAACTCTATAAGTCGGTGGTAATGTGTTCCTCGGAAGTATCTGCTGCCGCCACTGTTCCTCCTTGTGGTCAACAACTCTGCCGCCACTGTTCCTCCTTGTGGTCAACAACTCTGCCGCCACTGTTCCTCCTTGTGGTCAACAACTCTGCCGCCACTGTTCCTCCTTGTGGTCAACAACTCTGCCGCCACTGTTCCTCCTTGTGGTCAACAACTCTGCCGGGGCGCACGACAACCTAGAGGACAACACTTAATTAACAAACTACACAAATCCTACTGTATTTCAACTGCAACATTTGCAAAGACGATTGTGTGTATTTACAGCGGGATTGCGAGCCATATTTGTGTTTGGCAGACGTGTGGTTTTAAGGCATGTAAGCAACCCGTCCTCCTAATAGAACGTCGCATTTTGACGTATACTTTACCTAAGGCCAAAAATTGTCGTAACAGAAAATGGAAGCGGCTCGCGGAATTAACATACTGTCCGGTTTTCTATTTTGGGTCCTCTGGTATAAGAATAAGGGCACTTTAGCACGCCATTTTCTTGACGCTGGGAAAGGTTAGGAGGCCGGACTGTCGTAAGAGCGAGACGGAAGAAGGGAGGAGACGCCCGCACTTCGCCCGTTTACCAGACTATCGCCACGACTATCATATCTAATCTCTGCTAAACAGCTTCTCGGCCCCAGGTATGTGCTGGTGGTCATCTCAGGACACTATTACACATCAACTGAAGCCTTAAACATTATGTAATTTAACAGCATAGATTTTATTTTTAAAGTATTTTATGTAATAATTAATTCATTGCGTCGGGGGGACAGGCAGCCAGAGTGTATACATACACGTTAAGCTTATATCGCGACTGGTCTACACAGACCAGCGAATGTGTGGTACATTCTTGACACTCTCGCATGCCCAGAGACCTGAAAGCTGCAGTATTAAAAGCTAAGACAAATTTTGTAATAATAGGTAGTTGTACGGTCAGCACAGTAACCGGACCAGGCAATGTGATGTAGTCATTGTGCGAATTCGCCCTGGCTATAGACACATCTGGCAGATTAGTGAGGCTGAGCCACTACCAGAGTACTGTATTCAGATTGCAAACTCTGTGACAAACCTTTAATACATTCACTAGAACACTGTATTGTTGAATGTGAAACCATAAAAGATTTTAGACCTCCTGGGCTATTGTACCACCAACTGTGTAACTATTTCATTGAATCTGGTGTACTGGACGACATCCTAACAATTTATCTAAAACTTGCTTGTCCATTTTAAAGAATGAAGAACAATTTTATTTATATTACTTTTAAGCTGCATCTCTTATGAACCCATCCCTTCCCTTGTAAGGCAGTGCACAATAGAAAATTGATTTTACATATTCGTACATTAAAACATTGATTGTAACCATGATATTATATATGTGCTTCAGCCTACAGTTTAGACCTATTGTGTTGTGTATGACCCTCTGTCCTGTGTGACAGTGAATACCAACATTATCTTCACTTTAATAAGACTTAATTGAAATCCTCAGACTAGGCAAAATTGTAATTAAATGTTATCAATAAAGATGTTAATAATGAAAGCTGTCGTTCCCGGCCGCTGGAAATGTGCAGCCCGGCTTGACTCCTTGTACGGAGACGTGGTTGTTGGTGTCCGGTTACTGAGACGCAGTTTGTTTACCTCCGTTTACCGACATGTAGTTTGCTTGTATGAGGCTACTGAGACGTAGATGGCTTACGTCCGGTTACTGAGACGCAGTTTGCTTGTATCCGGTTACTGAGACACAGTTTGCTTGTATGAGGCTACTGAGACGTAGATGGCTTACGTCCGGTTACTAAGACGCAGTTTGCTTGTATCCGGTTACTGAGACGCAGTTTGCTTGTATCCGGTTACTGAGACCCAGTTTGCTTGTATCCGGTTACTGAGACGCAGTTTGCTTGTATCCGGTTACTGAGACGCAGTTTGCTTGTATCCGGTTACTGAGACCCAGTTTGCTTGTATCCAGTTACTGAGACGCACTTTGCATCCTGTTTCTCAGACTGTTTTCATGCAACCGGTTACTGCAGCCCACCAGCAAAACATTGGCCAAATGCTCGTTGTTCCAGCCGCCAAATCCCTTGTTATCGGATAAAAAAAACTAACTTATCCTCGGGCCGGGCTCGTCCAAGCAGCGGTCGACCCCACAGACGCGATCATCAGGTTTATCGTAAAGTGTAGACAAATTCTGTATTTTCTGAAGTAATATTACATTATTGTATAACAGAATTTGGTGTAGATTGTTTATAGTAAAACACCTAACCTAAATTAGGTTAGGTTAGGTGTTTAGGTTCTCTTGGTTATTGTTTGTATTTGTAATATATGGGTGAGGTGTTTATAGAGGTGTGGACTTTCTGAGTTCGAATCACGCCTCTGTTAATATTCTTCACCAAACGCAAATGTATATAATTTCAAACATAACCTAAACTCGGATTAACTGTACACATACGGGCTCACCATAGCCCGTGCTACTTGGAACGTATTGTTCAAAGTAGCGAATCTTTAACAACAACAAAATTATACACAATTCTGATATAAAATGATATGAATTTACATTTCAGAAAATGCCTATTTTGAATACACGTTACGTTAAAACTTGTTGACTCTGTTTAAGGTGGGCGGCGGCGAGGAGACACAGAGGTGGGTGGCCTCAGCCGCCCACAACAGCCAGGCTGACCCCGAACATAGAATGGACCTTTCCTCTCATATATGCCGCTCAACTGATGTATTAAAATATTGTATAATTCATCCAATGTTATACATGCCAGTGTTTAACGATGTATTTAGTACACGGAGGACCTTAGACATAGATAACTGGGTAAGATCTCTGGCAGACAAGTGTTTATGTTTGGGTAATGTGACCTGATGTGGGAGTGGCCTTATCTCTTGGCCTCAGTTATGTACGGGATGATCTTTGTGTGTGTGCGTGTGAGAGAGAGAAATATATGTAATACATACAGGACAAATATACTTGTTAGAAAGGCGGGGTCAAGGAGCTAAGAGCTCGAATCTGCAGACACAAATAGTAAACTACAAATAGTAAACACATACACCCTGTACTTCTCCTGATCACCAATCACAAAACATCCTCACACACACATTATATTCCCTCCCCATAACGTGTGTTGGGTGTACACGTGGAGTGTACACGTGGAGTGTACACGCGGAGTGTACACGCGGAGTGTACACGCGTAGTGTACACGTGGAGTGTACAAACAGCGGCCCGGGGCGCTGTACAGAACAGGTTATCTGTTGTTACTCTTGCGTGACCAGTGAGGGCGGCGGCTCTGGCCTCAATGGGGCTGTTACACATGTGCTAACAACCCCCAGTACTGCCACACTCTCTAAACATCATCGTTGTTA